AATAATAGATGATTGACATGGTTAACATGGGATACAATAATAGATGATTGACATGGTTAAAATGGGATACAGTAATAGATGAATGACAGGGTTAACATGGGATACAATAATAGATGATTGACATGGTTAACATTAGATACAATAATAGATGAATGACAGGGTTAACATTAGATACAATAATAGATGAATGACAGGGTTAGCATTAGATACAATAATAGATGAATGACAGGGTTAACATGGGATACAATAATAGATGATTGACATGGTTAAAATGGGATACAATAATAGATGAATGACAGGGTTAGCATTAGATACAGTAATAGATGAATGACAGGGTTAACATTAGATACAATAATAGATGAATGAAAGGGTTAACATTTGATAACATAATAAGCTTGTTAAATTGTTATAGGTGTGATTGTTTGTTTGTTGTAAAGCATAAATCTACACAATGGGCTATATATGCTCTGCCCACCACGAATATTGTAATCCGAGTTTTAGCGTTATAAGCCCATTGACTTACTGCTGCGCCATCAGGAAGCATTTTAATAGGTGTTACATAATTTTTTTTTTTCTTTATGAGTAACCATTTTATTCTTATATAAAACCAGACACAGTTTAGAGACTTATTGAAATGTGATGTTTATCTGTTTTTCTTGGGTTAATTAGTACCCTCTACTTAAAGACATGTTTAGTAAAAGAGATTGTGAAAGGATTTTTAGCAGTATAAATCAGTATTGATACGAGTACATATTCACAAACTGTTTATTAATATGTTTAATTGACACTAGATGACGCTTTATTTAAAAATAACCCTATTTTTACTCTAGTTGTTATCAAGGTTGACACTAGTTTATAAGGCTTGGATTTTCACGATATAATTAGCTTACCTTTAATTTATTTTAGTAGGCGAACAAATATTATTTCCACGTAGAAATTGTTTAAGTAAGTTTGCGAATATGATCTGTGGGGTAAATTGTTTGCTTTTTTATCTTTATTTCGCGTGAGGAAAAAACAAAATAACTTTCAAATTGGCAAGTTAGAAACTTTTTGCTTATCAAAACCCTTGTACTCAGAAGACATATTCTCCAACCCAACTCTGTACAAGGAAATGTTACCACCACCTTTTTAAAAACATACTTACATTTAAAATAAATAACGTCACCTTTTTCAATATGGCTACTGAGTACCGATGTTTATTACAGTCGTTTTACCTCTATCAGTACAAAGCACAGGTCGGTCGATGTCGAATAACTGTCTAACTTTTTTTTTTTTCACTGAGACGGGCGTTTTCGTCAAATGTCATTTAACTCGCCGCGTGAGTGTACGTGAAGACTGGCTCGCGCTCTTAACAACTGAGTTACGATGGCGCTAACACGACTTATGGTTTTTGTTGCCTGAAAGTTTGGATGGCAAGACGCCGATGTTTACATACCAAACGTACGACTAGTAATCGAAAGCGTGCAGTCACAACTTTTATTGGCTGGACCTGAATAATCTTTGAGTTGAGCAATGTGATTGATGATAATCCAGAATAAAGTGAAATGTTTAGCACAAAATAAAAGAGGTTATATGACAGCCTATATATTTCATTCGATAATTTAACACACCTGTTCTTCTCCCACAATACACTTGTCAAACCTTCAATATGTCTGAAGAAACATGACGTCGTACTGATTCACCTTCGATAGACACCCGCATAGCTTGTAAGTACGGAAAGAACGAGTGTTTCCCGGAGTCATGATTTGAATATACGATTGCAGAATTTCGACCACGCTTTTTTATCCTTGAATTAAAATTAATTGAAGTTGCTTGCAGATTATACATTACAAATTGCAACATTAAGCGTCCCTTGTGTGACATCATTTTAATGTCGACTGACTGACAACACACTATTACATAGTTTTTCCCTGTGTTGAAGGCCTCTGCAGCAAGATCCAATTCATGATATCTGTTTGTGATCGTATCAGGTCAATAAAAATCTTTACCTACATACAAGTAAAATGAAACGTGTTTCCGATAGAGGGCGCTAAAATAATTATAAAATGCATGATACAAGATAGTCATTTGTGTAGAATTATTATTCTGAAACACAAAAGTAATAACAGGAATTATTTTCTTTCTATAATTAATTCAAGCAGCATTTGTACATACATACAAGCATGTACAGAAAAAGGTTAAGGAAAATGAGAGGTTACACCGAACTACAAACATGACAGTAAAATATTTCAAACTACAGATACGATACAAACTTAATTATTTTTAATAAAGAATCATTTTAAAGATAAACATTTTCGCGATTAAATCTGGTACCTAGTTATGCTAAAAAATAGCGAAGACGTTTTAAATACGAAAAATAAACTGTCCATTTTCTTGTTTTGTTAAGCACAAGGCAGCATAATGAATTATGTCGTTGTGCCAACTGCGGATATCGAACCCGGATTTTTTGCTCTATAAGCCCACTTATCGCTGAGCCACTTATTAGTTTGCATTCTGTTTGTTTTGGGCTTTAACGAACTTGGTGACATTGACCGTGAACTAGAGTTTGCTAAAATTATTTATGTTTCAAAACATCAAAGTAGAAACATCCGAGGTTGAAAGGATGCTGTAAAACCTGAAAATTTATATAACAGGAAGTAAATATGTACCTTACCAGAAAGTAAGATGTATGTGGTGGATGTTGTATCTTACCAGAAAGTAAGATGTATCTGATGGATGTTGTATCTTACCAGAGAGTAAAGATGTATCTGATGGATGTTGTATCTTACCAGAAAGTAAGATGTATCTGATGGATGTTGTATCTTACCAGAAAGAAAAGATGTATCTGATGGACGTTGTATCTTACCAGAAAGTAAGATGTATATGATGGATGTTGTAAGTTACCAGAAAGTAAGATGTATCTGATGGATGTTGTATCTTACCAGAGAGTAAGATGTATCTGATGGATGTTGTATCTTACCAGAAAGTAAGATGTATCTGATGGATGTTGTACCTTACCAGAAAGTAAGATGTATCTGATGGATGTTGTACCTTACCAGAAAGTAAGATGTATCTGATGGATGTTGTACCTTACCAGAAAGTAAGATGTATCTGATGGATGTTGTAAGTTACCAGAAAGTAAGATGTATCTGATGGATGTTGTATCTTAACAGAAAGTAAGATGTATCTGATGGATGTTGTACCTTACCAGAAAGTAAGATGTATGTGGTGGATGTTCGTACCTTACCAGAAAGTAAGATGTATCTGATGGATGTTGTACCTTATCAGAAAGTAAGATGTATATGATGGATGTTGTACCTTACCAGAAAGTAAGATGTATCTGATGGATGTTGTACCTTACCAGAAAGTAAGATGTATGTGGTGGATGTGTGGTTAAACGTAACTGTTGACTAAAAGAACATGTGTTATGTGTGGTTAAACGTAAAGACAAATTCACAGTTTAATAAAGATATTAACTCTAACTACAGTGTTGAGTTTACAGCATAATAAGTGCAATTTTTTGTGAAATGTAAGAGGGCAAATGCTCCCTCTTGCCCCTTCCTGTGGGCGCCCATGTGTTTGTTATATTTAATATGCACTTTCAGTTAACATCAAATTGTTCCACCTATAGTGATTTCCAACAACAACAATAAGACCGTAATTCCTTTCTGGTTCTTTATCTTGTGATGTAAATAAAGTATACAACAATACCTATAGTGATTTCACAACAACAATAAGACCGTAATTCCTTTCTGGTTCTTTATCTTGTGATGTAAATAAAGTATACAACAACGGTTACTTATTTTGTCTTCTTTTAATATTTAGATCTTACTCTTAACTGCATCAGTGTGTTTATTATTTATAAGTACTAACTGAATTTGAACTGATTTTGATAAAACGTTATGCTGACAATTATCATGCAATAATTGGTACATAGCCTAAACCAGATTCGCACGAGTACTTGTATTTCTTGTGAATATCGCACACTTTATGAGAATTATCACTAAAGAAAACACGTAAATGTAGAAATCATGGCGTCAGTTAGCAGAGGAAGTCCTGAACGAAATTCGAGAAGCTGGAATGACGAACCGGAAACTGCGTCAAGGAAGTTAGTGATTAATATGCACGATTCAATTTTCTTAAGCGTTGTGGTTTTCTTCTAAGTAACTAGAGTGCTTCTTTAGGTAATATTGTATAGATATCGTCTGCTTCTATCTTCACTGTAATATGAATATTTTCGTCATTATCGTGTTTCCAGATAACAGATGTGTAAGTTATTTTCGGACTTCGAACCAACGACTGCCTCCTTGTTACAAAGTATAAAATATTGGTAGATAAGCATGACGTCATTATGATGAAACAAAAACGGTTTGCTTAATTGTGCTTCGTTTTTTGTTTGTTTTCAGAACTGTTGAGAAAAAAAGAGAGTAAAGTACGCGATTCAAGTAGGCCTAGTATTTTACATTCTTCAGAGTTGACAAAGGTAAGATTTTTTATTATTTAATGTAAACAACGCCATATTAACATCAAAAGTACGAGTCCGCAGCACCGTGAACGTAACTCGAATGAAATGTTACCGATTTAAATTTTTACTATTTTAATAATGGGGTGAAAGTATATGACGATGAACAAATCTGGTAGCAGGACGTAGAAGCCATATTTAATTTGTAAAAAATTATGAACGACTAAAGGGATTAAGTATGCGTTCCTGGTTTTTCATTTTATCGCTTAATTCACGTGTAATTCAAGTTAAAAAAACTAATGTAATATAAAGTTGAGTTTGTTTCGAAAGGCCTTCATTCTAACCCCACCATTTTTTATGTCAAATTATTACGATAAACAGCAATCATGAAATGATTTAACAGATTCTGTTGAGTTCTGTAGGGGAGTAAAATATTGTTGATCTTATGATTTAACAGATTCTGTTGAGTACTGTAGGGGAGTAAAATATTGTTGATCTAATGATTTAACATTCTGTTGAGTACTGCAGGGGAGTAAAATATTGTTGATCTTCTTATTGTAATGGAAAAGGAAAAAATATATAAGGGGCTTCAGTGTAATGTAGTAGAAGACGTTACTTGTAATTGCTTCACTGTGATTAACGTTTTATACTACACTTCTTGGGCAAGAAAAATTGCTCGATAGACACTTCATTGAGAGGCAGTAAAATACAATATCTGACGGACATTTCACTGTTTGGTTGTTTCGAATTTTCGCGCAAAGCTACACATGGGCTATCTGTCGCTAGTTTTGAATTGATAGACTAGTGGAAAGACAGCTGTTCAACGAAGCACAAGCCTTTGGATTCACAGTCCGACACGTTAACCATTATGCCACGCCCAACCCCAAAGGGCAGTAGATAACACTTTGTTGTGAAAACTAATATGTTTTATCTGTAAATATAAGGTGGCTGTAGGGGTTGGCTCGTATTAATTTTGGTTTGTTTTAATTATTTAGTTGAAGACATGTTAATTAAAATGTGTTGAACTACGTTTTGTTATCGGAGCAGAAATAACAGTTGTACTTCGAGTGATTTTATTCTTTGACAAACAGACAGTTGCTTGGTGAGTTATTGAACAGTTACGTCGTTTTTTTGTTTTTTATGTTTGAACCACAAATACACATTCTCTACACTGTAGTATCTTTTGCAAAGCTGCATAGTGTTTTTAATTATTTCACAAGGTATGTCATGAAAGGCGCCCCCTGTAGAGAAACCATGGGCAGTGAAGTTGGGTGGGCTACTGCCACAAACGAGTCTGTGCAATTAAATACGGTCCAACTGACAATTACGTGGCTGTAACAGTATCTCTACACGCCAAAAGGTGGTGCATTTTTACTGTAATTGGAATCTTTAATATCAAACTATTGGTCATATGGGACTGAAACATTAAACCAACCTACTAAATCCAGACAATGGGCTTGGCACATCATTTAAAGACACGTGTTGAACTTTCTTTGAATACAAATGTTCCTTATATCAGCCCGTCCCTACAGAGGTAACGCAGCTGGCTTAACTTACAGGTTACATTCAATTTGAAGGTGTTCCGCTATAATTACTCTGGTCGTTCACACAGGAAAAGTGTTTTGGTGTAAATATATTCTTATCTCCTAGACAACAGGTTAAGCCTTTTTTTAGGCTCTCTTTGTAAGCATTAAAGACCAAACGAACAATATTCTTTCAATTAACTCAATTACTAAACATTCCGAGGAATAGGTGTGAAGTTGAATCAATAATTTTATAATTAATATATCACGAATGGTTATTTTATTTAACGCTTCTTACGTTCTGAGAACGTCCCTGTTAATTGTCAGTGAAAATATTTGTTGTTATTACCAGTAATATAAGTAATTATACGTGTAAGTTGTTCCGTGAATCTACATATAAACGTGGTAATGGGACAGTTGGTTATCTACAACAATGGCAGTAGGACAGTTAAAGCGATTTGGAATCAAATGGTCTTTTGTGACATCTGAACTCGTTGTCGACCTAGTCTGCCTACAAATCATTAGCAGTTTTCATTCAAACAATCGAATTCTTTACAAAATAATTCGTTTTTGTTTTGTTTCGAAGTACAAAGCTACAGAATGGATTATTTGTGTTGTGTCACTTCAAATATCTAAAATATCTAAACCCAAACTTACCGCTCAGCTATCGACGGGGGGGGGGGGGGCTATTCCCCCCTTACCGATGTGTTACAAGCCGTCAAATTACCGCTGAGCTATCGACGGGGGGGGGACTCCCCCGTCAAATTACCGCTGAGCTACCGGCAGTGGGTGCTTTTAAAATAAGATTTTATTGTTCTTGTTTCTCCGTAAAGACGTTGACAGATTTTTCGTTTAGTCAGTTTTGTTGCTAGAATGATCAAAATCACGCGCGTCTGAAGACATCTTAACCTCTTGTTTTATATATATATATATTAAACTTCTGACCATTGGACAGAAAATCCGCTAACCTTGTATTATATACGACAGAACCACGTGAGTCAAATGGGATTGGAGATAACACTTGACTTTGATCCTATGCAGAGTTAAGGTCACAGGCTTTAGTCACTGTTACAGCTGAGAGCAACAGGTGAAACTTATGTTATATAACCAACATAAGATCGTTGTGTTTTTCTTCTGTCAATTTTGGAACATTCGATAATTATTGTCAATGTTTAAAGTTACGTAACAACATTTACTTAGTTCACGAACCGTACATATACGTTTAAAGTCATGTAACAACATCTACTTATTTCACGAACCGTACATATACGTTTAAAGTCACGTAACAACATCTACTTACTTCACGAACCGTATATATACGTTTAAAGTTACGTAACAACATCTGCTTATTTCACGAACCGTACATATACGTTTAAAGTCACGTAACAACATCTACTTATTTCACGAACCGTACATATACGTTTAAAGTCACGTAACAACATCTGCTTATTTCACGAACCGTACATATACGTTTAAAGTCACGTAACAACATCTACTTATTTCACGAACCGTACATATACGTTTAAAGTCACGTAACAACATCTACTTATTTCACGAACCGTACATATACGTTTAAAGTCACGTAACAT